GCTTTGTACTGATTTCTGAGAATAAACGAAGAGTGAACCCCATTTCGGCAGTGTTGGGATATTTTCAGCAAAATTGCATGGGAGTATGGATGTGGCCTCCTTCTTGTGTTTGACTTCAGTTACAGGACCATCAAAAGTCACTTTTCCAAAAATATTCGAGGACTCTCACTTTTTCCAAAGTTCTGTGTTAATCCTTTGACCATTCTCAGTGGAAACTCCTGTGTGGATTCCTTCTTCTTTAATCCTTCACTAGACTGGTTGCCATCGGCTTTGAGTAGAATCCTGTTTTTGACTAATAGGACTTTTGTGGACTCCATTACATTCTGCATCAGTGGCTGATTTGCAATTCTAGTTTGCAGCTTATTTACTTGGTCTAGTCATTATATCATCGGATGTCCCAACGGTTTGTAAGAGGCTACTAAAAGGATTAAATACAATATATAAATATAGTAGCATTGTAGATGCTCAGTTAACAGGAAAGCCATCCCCTTCTTCATTTTCCCCAGATTGGTTTTTATCCATTTGCATTTTATGACTTTGCCTCAACTATTCCATCCTTTGAGATAGATCAGTTCACAAAGGAACGTTTTCATGTTATGGCTACTTGTGCTTCCCTATAAGCATTCTGATACACTCATGACTTGGAGCCCTTGGGAAAAGAGAACTCCAGGGTGTAAATGGTTGGCGGCATGGGGTGGTGGGCAGTTCCAGGAGCTGATATTGTCATCAGGGCGAGCTGACAGAGACTTGAATTATTCAATATTTGGCACATGGGTCGAGGAGGTCAGTTACACTTAAAACATAGTTGAGATGACATTAACAGGACCAGTAGTTTGGGCACCTGGGCATGGAAACTGGAATAAGGAACTCGGGAGAGAAGGAACTCCAAAGTGGAGCTGGGAAGGTGGTGGAGAGTGTGAGGTGGAGTTTCGATCCTCTGAGATGTGATTTTATTTTGGTGGCCTCTTTGCCCTCCATGGGAAAATAAACAACCGACGCCAATCAATCACACCCACTGGCACTTTAGAAAAATTCCTTTTGGTTTTTAAGTCTTTGATCTCTGCTCAGAAGTCAACACCCTTGACAGGACTGACATTTTGAGCTGCTAACAGTCACCCCAGTGTCAGTGGAAGATTCGATAGGGGCGTCTTGGAGGAGAATGGAGGGCGAGACTGCTGAGGAAGGCAGAGGGCCCGCCATGAAGTGCAGCCAGGGCACCGGGCCTGCTAGACCCGAGGGGACCAGTAGGTGTGCTTGAGGCTTACGGCGTTCGGGTTTCTGTGTACCCAGGGACACGCTCTTGAATGTGACCCTGGGTTTTGCTTTCCACAGCATGAGCCTCCGACCCGGTCAGACCCACTTCCTCCTCACTATGGCTTGAAAGTGCCAGTTCTCGGCTTTGCCTTCTGCTTCTGCCACCCTTGGTTTCTGTTCCTGATCCTCCTCCTCCTCTCCCTTCTCCACATCCTGCACCCCCTCCCAGCCTCAGCTGTCCCTCGTCTCTTTCACTATATCCCTTATTCTTTGTGTCATGGGTGTTCAGCATTTGAGTCATATTTGCTTTAGGTTTATTCTGTCATGCGTGTATGCATTTCTCAAAGCCTGTGCCGTGAAAGTGTGACCATATTAAACACCAAATGGGCTTATAATCAAAGGGTAGGAAATGCTGGTTTTCATAAAGGTTAAAAACCTTTTGTTTTTTTTAAACCTTAGGCCTCTGCAGACCTTTAATTTATAAATGTGAATCCTGAATCCCTCTGAAGTCTTTCTCAAGTTCTTTACTCGTACAGGAACCTGTTTTTCATCTCACAGGGCTAGTCTTCTGCAGGAGCCCATCTCCAGACGGGCTGCGGTCATCGGCTTAGGCTCTGGAAGGGGGAAACCACATCGCCCTCCACTGTGGATCCCCCTGTTAGCTGAGGGCAGTCATCTCTGAGGAAACTCTAGGGACACTTTTTACAACCTTTTTTATTATGGTAAAATTGATCTAAAATTCGCCATTTCAACCATTTTAAGGTATACAGTGCAGAGGCATTGAGTACGTTGGCAGTGTTCTGCAACCATCACCATCAACTGATTTCACCCCAAAGCAGTCCTTCCTCCCCATTCCCCCCACCCCCACCCCCACCTCAACAAACACCAACTTGCTGGATTTGTCTATTCTGGATATTTCATAGCAGTGAAATCATATAATACATGACCTTTTGTGTCTGGCTTCTTTGATATAAATACAAGGTCAGAGAGTGCATGATATCTCTGCTCCCCCAACCCAGCTCTTGAGTATTGGCCAAACCCCATACACGTGTAAGTAACAAAATGCAACTATCCATCTGGAAACCTCCAAATCACGTGGCCAGGCCTCAGATATCATGGAATACTGCAGAAAAGGGTCAACAGTGTGGATGGTTGCCATGGACACGACTTGACCTAGGGTTTCAGGAAGCTGACTTCAGTCCGGCTCAGAGACCTTTCCTGGAGGTCAGAGGTGACTGAGCTGTGGGTACGATTCGCTTATCACCCTCACCCACCCTCTCTCCACTGTGAGGTCTACATTTCAAGCTGCTCGTCACTTAATAACCTTTGAACATTCTGGAGTGGGCTGGTTCTTCAGGGGCAGCTGGTGGGAAGGCGGTGCCATCCACCGCATGCAGAGCCCTCATGGGTCCTTTGGGCACGCTCTTTACGCCTCAGGACTCACGCAGAAACTGGAGGCCCCACGGCTCGTACAGACAGCAGTTGGACACCCCTTGTAGCACCCTGTGCTCATCTGCCTCGCGAGCTTGTGCATCCTCCTTGTTGTTCCATTGAATTGCCCAGGATCTTTCTTCTCTGAGCTGCACTCGTCAGCCCTCCACTCATCGATGCCTCTAGAGTCCAAGGACAGTGCTGCCAGAAGTGTGTCACCATCTGCCTAAAATATGCTGTTTTCCATGTGCCATTTTTCTACTGAAGAATCGATGCTATCGTCTTGGTATTTAAATTCCTATTTAGTCGTCTAGCCCATCTCTTTCCTTTCTGGTGTAGACTGTGGCCTTCCATACTCAACAGGCTTCTCTCATTTCTCTTCGCCCTTAAGCCCTTAGCTTCTCTGCCCCGGGCTTGGAGTGACCGCCCGCCGTCTCTCAGCCAGTCAACTCTCCCTTGGAAGTTCAGCTCAAGGAAGGCTCAGCAGTTGCACAGAGCCTCCCCGAACATTCTAGCAACCCTTGCTTCCTGCACTAAGCCCATGTGGCACTCTGACGCCACAGGATTTAGAGCTGGTGGGCAGCTTTTTAAAATGAAGATGTTATTACTTAGCCTCTTCTCCCCAGTGAGATGACCAGCGCTCAGAGGAAGGGACAATTAAGTTAAGCAGGTAAAGGGGGAAGGCACTGGACCGTGAATCCAAGACCCAGGTCACCTCTGGGTACAGCCGTCTGCTGGCTGTGTTGTCTGGGCAAAACGACCTCTCTTGAACTTATATATTCTCATCTGTAAAAGGAGTGGGGGTTAAGGAGGGTATATTACCTTCCTATCTGCTGCTATAACAAGTTACTACCACTTAGTGGTTTAAAGCAACACAAATTTATTCTCCCGCTGTTCCGGAGGTCCGAAGTCAAAAATGGGTCGGCAGGGCAATGTTCCTTCCGGAAGCTCTAGGCAGAACCCATTTCCTGTCCTTTTCAGCTTCTGGAGGTCCACTGCCGGCATTCCTTGGCTCATGGCTCCCTCCTTCATCTTCAAAGCCCATTGCTCCATCTCCTCCCTGTGTCCATGAAGGACTCTTGTGACTGCATTGGACCCACCCAGTTAATCCCGGATAATATCCTCACCTCAAACTTACTCACATCTATAAATATAAAGTCCCTTATGCCACGTAAGGTAACATATTCACAGGGATTAGGCCGTGACTAGGACATCGGGGCCATTACTCCGTCTGCCACCGTGGGTTTATAGGTCTCTTGTATCTCTAATATGCTATAAAGCAAGACAGATTTCTCCCAGTTATTTATGGAGCCTGGCACTGTACTAGGCTCATTAACGTCTCGATTAATTATGTTTATCTATGAGGATTTTGTCTTCTCAACTTGTTATTAGGGATTCTAGGGCCTGATTCAACTCAGTGATAGGCCTCTGAGTGCAAACCCTAGGATTGTTCTGTTTTCAGGTTTCCGTGGGCTGCACTTTTACTAGCAAAAAATTGGATGATGTTCCTCTACCTATCTTTGATTTCTGTGCTTTGTAAATTCTGAAAAAGCTTTAAAGAATGTAATCTGTTTCCCAGGAACAGCCTGTCCATTCTCCTGGTGATTCTACCACGTTTCTAGTGGTCTCTCCATACATTCGTGAATGTGTTTCCAGCTCCTCTTGCAGAAGTTGAAGTCAGTGCTGCGCTGTTAAGGTCTAGAGGCCAAATAGTCTTGGATACTAACCTAGCTAGTCTCATTTGTAACTGCTACTCAATGTTACGGTATCACACAGCAAATTAGATCGGCATTTGCATGGGCGCTATGCTATTTTTCCCTACATCCCATAGGGTGGTGTCCACCTTGGGTGACCACTGTGTACAAAACAGTGAGAAAGCATCCATAAAATCTATAATAATAAAAGCATAATATGCTAATTAGACTGGACGTCCTTCCGGCCAACCTTCTGGACGAAGCCAGGCTTCGAGGGAAGCCCGGGTTCCAGGTGCCTGCCAGTGGCCGGAGGGAAGCCCAGGTCCCGGATGCTGGAGGGAAGCGGTGCCAGCAGCCAGGGGAAGGAAGGCTTACCCTTACACGAATTTCGTGCGTCGGGCCTCTAGTGTTGTATTTATAGTGGCTCCGTTGTTTTCTTCCCAGTGCTCAGCTTGTTGTGCTGAGACAGGATTCCCTGTGGGTTGAAAAATGCCCCCCCCCAATTAATTTTAAGTTTTGAGGTACTTTTGACTGGGGAGTCTGAGAAATACACGTCTGAGAAATGTGCGTCAGTCATACCTGCAGCCTGTGTATTGAAGTTTTCTCTGCCTTTTGTTCCCTAGATGCACCCACTGGGCCTATGTAATAACAATGACGAAGAGGACTTGTATGAATACGGCTGGGTGGGAGTGGTGAAGCTGGAACAGCCAGAATTGGACCCGAAACCATGCCTCACCGTCCTGGGCAAGGTAAGTCCCTCCGAATCGCTCCCGTTCTGATGGGTGTTCTCCACGCTGCCATTTCCTCCATTCCTCGAAATAGTCGGTTCAGAGAAAATCCTCGCTGGCACAGTGCTCTTTCCCAGATGGCGTCGAGTGGGTGGAGCGCTAAGACATGTCTCGGGGCTGCCCACCGTGGTACTACCAGCTCGGACTCTGATGGAGACGGCCAGCCCCCGTCAGCTCCCCCTCTTGTCCACTTGGTAGCTTTAGGCAAGTCACTTCCCCTCACAGACTCTCAGTTCCTACCTGTGAAATGGGCTGATAATAGAGAGTCACCATACCTGATCTTATATCCTGGGGGCCAGATGTTTCAGAATTCTGAGACTTTGAGGCTTTAGGAAGGTATTAAGGTGTCATATACACTCATATTTGTGTAGCAAACTTTATGGATAGTCACATTAGTGGGTTAACTAAAATCGAAATAGCTTCGTGTTAAGTGAGGGCAGCTTCGCCTCCCAAATGAGTTCAGGTCCATTAAGTTTTGCTGCCAAGTAAGCTATGGAAAAACTTTTGGGTCTTAGAGCTTTTTTGGTTTCAGAATGGCAGACAGCAATTATGCTCCTGTATTAGAACTTACCTCATAGGATGGTTAGGAGGGGAGATGAGATGCAAGCGTCTAGCACAGAATAAGCTCTCAAAACATGTTCGCTGCCTGCCATTGGCTGTTGTCATCCTATTTAGAAGGACTAAAAAAGCCTCTCTTTTTTTTTTTTTTAAAGCCAAGAATATCAGCATTACCTCTGACTGCAGTATAAGATAGAAATAAATTTATTTTGGAAAACCATTCATCAGTGATCTTAAAATATGACAGGTAACAACCTGTTTTAAACTGGATCATTTTGTGCAAGGGAAAGGTTTGGAGAAAGTTATTAGAATTTTGATTGGAGGAAGCGTGGTATCTCCTAAGGATAGTGTTATTGCCTGGATATTTTTTATATTCTCAGAAGCTGCTGTTCTAGGTCCTAAGGGGAGATAGCTGGGAAGGGGGTGGGGGGTGGGGGCGGTCCCGGTTCCTGGGCTCCTGAGGATTTCTTGGGAGATCCACGCAGAAGAGATGGCTTCCATACCCATGCAGGATACTTGGGAGGGTGCCTTTCCCTGCCTTAAAGATATCCCAACCAATTTCTTCCAGAATGTCTCATGGGTCCCATCTGTGATTTTTGCCTCCCGCCTCTCTTCTAAGTAGTGCGTTAGCACTTGTCAAGTTCTTTTGCCCCTTTATAGGGAAAACAAACAAGCAGGCACAGGAGTTATCTGTTTGGTGTGTAGTTCACAAAGTTGAATTGAGGTGTTTTCGGTGGCCCAGGCCCTGATACTTGTTCATTTACATAGTTGGCCAGAACTGCTTAATGATGCTAGGCGAACAGTGACCGCCCCCCGCCCCCCCCTTGAGAATATTTTAATGTTTTCCTAGGAGGAATGCCAGCTACATCCAAAGGCTGCAGGAACAGTGCTTTCCTTGTAGGCAGTGTGCTCCGAATAGAAGATTTTCTCCTCTACTCGAGCTGCTGCTCTGCGGGTCTCGGCAGCTTGTCGTAATTTTCCCCAGTTTGGTGGGACTCCCCCTTCGTGCTTGTTGTGTCTGTAAATGGGGTGGAACCAGACTCCCAGGGACACCCCCTCTTCTCCCATTGTTTCCTCCTGTACCTAGAACAACCCTGTAGTGATTTTACTTGGAGAGTCTTGTAAGGTTTGGCCCGCTGGCCTGCGAAGCCAGGGGGAATAAAAACCCAGATGGATATCGAATCATTAAGCACTTCTTGGGTTTATTCATTCACCAAATATTTATTGAATGCAGGGACCCAGAAGCTAAGCGTGCGGTTCTACCTGCTTACAAGCAACAGGCCTCCCTCACCCCACACAGACACCCTGTTTCTGTCTAGAAAGGTTGTACGGTGGCCAGACGGTATTTACATGTGGTTAGTTACTGAAATTTGGCTTAACACCTGAGTAAAACCATTAGCAAAAATGCTTGGGCAAGACAGTTTCACGTTTGTTTCAAACCGGGATTGGTGTAGGAGGTGCGAAAAGGCAGGCATCTTAATTTCTCCCTTTCTCTTTCCCCCTCCCTCTCTCTCATCCTCTTTTTCATCTTCTTCTTAAAGTGTAGTTATTCTCAGCTTTACTACCTTTGCTAACTGTTTGGCTTCTTTTTCTGATCCCCCAAGGGCAGTGGCGAGAGACGACTAGGGTGAAGAAAAGCCAAGTGGCCCTCAGTGGCCGCCTGACCTCCTGCAGATGGCGCGGCCTTTCTGTGATTTCTTTGCTCTTAGTGGCTATGGCGAGGCGGTGGGCAGTGGAGAGAGGCACCAGAGGAGAAACAGCCAAGTCAGTGTGGGGGTGGGGGGAGGGACTTCTCTGCCTGGATGTTGAGACTTGTTAGAACCATAGAAGGGAGAATGTCTTTGAGGCATTCGGGAAAGCCGGTGGGAGAACAGGGGAGGGACGGGCGCAAACCCCTCTCCCTCCCCCATCACCCACCTCATTACCCACCCGCCCACAGAAAATGCCATGAGGCGAAAAGTTGGAACAAGAGAGGAATGTCCTACATTTTAAAAAAAAACATAAATGCCTCTCCAGGAGTTCAAATAAAGTTTTCATTTTAAAAGCAAAAGACGTAAACTCATCACCTTGGTTTATTACTGGGCGCTTTTGAACTCCTCAGAAACGAACACCGTAAACTCGGGAGGAAAAAAGTGATTTATGATCCCTTCCTCGTCATCTTTTTGATTCTGTAGGAGGTGGGACAGACAGTAGGATCAGCTAGGGAGGCAGAGTTGGGGTGAGCATGGCCCCCCCCCCCCCCCCGCGTCCCGCCCCAGGCCTGGGGCAAATCTTAGCTTTTTGGGGCCTCTTTTTCACTGAATGTGATGAGGCTCTTCTAGGCTCCTCGCTCTTTTAATATTTTGAGCCTCTGTATCATATTTAAAACCTTCCCTTACTATTCTAGTTTGGGGAGATTCTAATTGCAGCATTGAAAGACAGACTTCGTTAGCTGTGACAATTTCAGTCCTAGGAAATGGAAATAGAATAAAGTTGACATTTCCAAGCGGCTTGCTATTGAAAGTAAGACTCTTACACCACCCCCAAAGCGCAGGAGCCTGTTTCTATGACCCGCCAGCCTCGCGGGGAGTCATGGCAGGGAACACACAAAATCTGCTAGAGTTTCTAACAAAGCCCACTGGCCCAGATTTCATAAATCGAGGCAGAGTATCGCCCCCACCCCACACACACACCTTCACACCCCCACTTTGGAGCCTTAGGGAGGATTTTGAAAGACAGGATAGTCAACAGGTGTGGACCGGGCTCTTTCCAGGACGGTGAGGAAGTTCATGAAAAGACAAGGCAGGGAGTTTTAAGTCTCAGAGATCCAGCTTTGGTGAGCGACCTTGGAAAGGTCATTCCGCTCTCGGGCCTTACTCTTCTCATTGGGGCTTATGTGGTTTTTGTCATTGTGGTGGGGCTTCTGCAAGATGTTTGTGGAGCACCAGAGCCTGGCTCAGGGTAAATGCCCGATGGGGTAAAAGCAGCCATCATGGGTTGGCTGTTCGCCCTGAGCTAAGAGTGTTATATGCAGTGTGTCTCCTTTCATTGTCAGACTAGCTCTGAGACTGTGTCCACATTCCCATTTTGCAGTTTAGAAATCGAGTCCCAGAGATGCTGTTTACATAACATAGGATCGAAATCTCCCAAGTAGCTAAGCTGAGATCCGAGATAAAGACTGTTCTACTACCTCATCAGTGTATTCTGAAGAGTCAGATCCTCTTGCCCTGGACTGAGGGCCAATCCCTGGCACAGAGAGAAGTGAGTCCACCGGGCTGGAGGGGCCGGCTGGATCGTACAGAGAGGTGCTCGTGTGACAGGGTGAGATGTGGGAATGTTCTCCAGGAACAGGGCAGAGAGAAAGGGAGCAAGAAGTTCTACAAGGGGGCATCGAAAGTTTCTGGGAAAAGAAGAGTCTTTAGATTAAGGAGCCTTCATCCCCTAGGTAGCTGGGAGCCACTGAAGGTTTCTGACAGAAGCACGGGTGCCATAGAGGCCCTCCAGTTTGGAAATGCTCGCTTGGCAGCGAGGCTAGTTGGAGAGGGGGAGGATCAAGTTATCTTTTGCTGCTGGATGTTTTCAGGAACAGAGGGGGCCCAGCCATCAATTCTTTTAAATGCTTTGATGAGGCCCAAGTCAATGACATTGTCAAGGACACCTCGTGTTTGCCTTCAAGACGTCCCAGTCTCTTCATCTGGCCTTTTTCTGTTTTCACCATTTAGGCAAGTGTGAAATGTATAGACAGGCGAGCTGGTTTGAAATCCTGGCTCTTCTGATGAGCAGCAGGAAAGCCAGGGATGAGGGGTTGACAGAGAATTGAACCCTTATGTTCATTTTCACTTCATCAGCCCACATCCAGCTCTCAAAATGTCTTGGTAACTTCTTCCCAAAGAATGAATAAAGACGCTGGTAACCAGAATGACTGGAAGACAGAAAACAGAGTCAGAGGAATTTTATTTTTCCAGGGTGGTTGTGAGGAGAAGGGAACACGTAATGGTTACCGCTTGGGTTTAGACATCAAACTAACCTGAGCGAAAACCTCACTTCCGGCCCTTGAAGCTGTGTGACCCGGGGCAGCCAATTAACCCCTCTGCCCGGTTCTGCCTCTTTGATGAGAACAGCACCCAAAGGAGCTAGTGCATGTCAAGTGCTGGTTGTTGTTTTGGGCACAACTGAAAGCATTGAATAAAGTAGCAACTCTTACTGACCGTCCTCTCTTCCTTCTCTCTACCTACCTCATTACTCTTCAGTTTCTTTTAGCATCCAAAGTGGCATTGCTTAAGGAGTCAATCCACAGAGACAGAAAATAGACTGGTGGCTGCCAGGGCCTTGTGTGTGGGGGAGGGCGGAGTTAGTGTTTAATGGGAATAAAGTTTCATTTGAGGAAGATGAAAAAGTTCTGGAGATGGATGGTAGTGGTGGTT